CTCCGTGAGAGCAGCAGTAATCGGCTTGGACAGACTTTAATCCACCTTCTTAGGCAACTGGAAAACTCCAAATAAGGGAGATTATTTATTTAAACCCAAGACTTTTATTCTCACAGGAATTCAGTACTTATTTTGAAAGGCTAAGTAGTGATGTTGAGCATCTTTTCATGTGCTTCTGGCGTTTGCACATCTTCCCTGGAGAAGTACTATTTGGGTCTGTCTCCCACAGACCGGGGTGCTCGAGAGCCTTCTCTCACCAACTGGGGGCCAGAGGTCCAGGGTCATGGAGCCCGCACACTGTCCCGAGTCCCTCCCGACGAGACGTGGTCCCGGCAGCTCAGCCCCGCCCCAGTGACCTCACGTAACCCTGGTCACCACAAGCCCCACTTCCGAATATCAGCACTCTTTGTGTTAAGGCTTCGACAGGTGAGCTTCAGGGGAATGCAGACATGCAGTCCATAACGAAGTGCTTTGTCATTTTTTAGAAAGATGATTTGAGAGAGAGAGAGAATCTCAAGCAGGCTTCTCGATGTCAGCACAGAACCCCACACTGGGCTCGAACTCACGAACCGTGAGATCATGACCTGAACTGAAATCAAGAGTCGGAGGCTCAACCGAATGAGCCCCCCAGGGACCCCTTCTTTGCCCATTTTGAACTGGGTTGTTTGTTTTTGTTCTTGTTCAGTTGTGGGAACTCTTTACATATTCAGGATATCACACCCTCATCAGGTAGAAGATACACAGATACTTTCTTCTCTCCCGTGGGTTGTCTCGCCCTTGGTTGTTCCTTCAGCATAAACGTTGGTCATGTTGTGGAAGCCCGGTTCACCTCTTTGCTTTTCTGCCTGTGCTTTCGGTGTCACATCCAAGAAATCAGCGCAAATCCAACGTCGAGGGGTTTCTTTCCTTCTGTTTTATTCTAAGACTCTTGTAGTTTTAACTCTTACGTTTAGGCCTTTGATTCATTTGAGTTAATTTTGAATAGAGTGCCAGATAAGGGGGATTTTGAGAAAAACAATCACAGAAGGAAAAAACCCAGCAGTTGTAAGTAGAGGCACCGAATCGCAGAGTCTGGGGTGGACGGAGGTGCGAGCAGCGTTTGCCCAACATCATGGGGGCCTGTCAGGCTGGGATGCTCAGAACCGAGGGTGCTGAATGGTGGGGGCCCCAGGAGACTGTCAGTGGGACCGGGGCTGCTTCCAGGGTTCCCGGCGCCCCTGGAACATCGTCTCCGCGTGGGACTTGGGCCTGGAACCCACCCGCCCATAAAGTCTAATGCAGAGGAGAGAAACACAGACAGCTCAGGGTGCTGCGCGGTCCCCCAGAGCAAGCACCATACCACCTAGAGATGGGGCCCTTTCCCCGGGGGCTCTTCCCGGTGCTGTCGGTTAAGGGCTTGGGGAGGCCTGGAGCCATTCAACTGAGCTCGGGTCCTCCTGGGGCACGAAGCCCTTGGACGCCAGGCTGGGTGCCCGGGGCCGGCTGGTGGCTCGCCCTCCCTCTTACTCTGTCTCCATCTTGCAGGAAGCTGACAGGCAGCCCCTCCATGGGCGTTGGTGCTGCTGAATCGTTCATTGACTCACTGATTCACCGATTCCTTCATTCAGAAAGCCAGCAAGCCGACTCCAGACCCCAGACTGGACCCTGGAGCTACACCCTCCCGCCCGGGAAGTGGATAGAGAAGGTCATAAAAACAGCCCTTTCTGAAGCCCCTGCCCGCAGCCCCACACTCGCCACCCTCTCGCTCTGTCCCTGCTGTCCCCGCTGTGTCCTCCCCTGAATCAGGGAACCTCGGAGACGCCTGCGGGGGGTGGGGGTGCAGACGCACCTTCCAGTGAGTCCTACTCAAGCCGAAGGTTGAAAGGTAGGTGAGACCCCGTGTTCCCTCCTTGTTCAGCCACACTCACTGTCACCTCCTTTGTGGGAGAAGTGAGGCCCGGACAGGACCAGGGGGCGGTGACGGGGGAGACGGACCGGCAGACAAGGCTAGTGTGACTGGATGTGACCTGCCTGAGGGTCTCTGCCACACTGAGCCTTGCGCTGTCGCCCGCAGTCCTGGCGGCCAGTCTCAGAGGTAGGTCCTCTTGTCCCCACTGAGAGGAGTGGCCTTGGGGCTCAGAGCAGTTGGGTCACCTGCCTAGGCCAGCCCTCTAACAGCAGGTGAGGATTTGAATCAGGGCTCTTGAGCCACATCCGTAAACACAGAGTGTCCTGGACCTTGTCATTCCAAACTCACACCCTGAAGAGGTTGCGTCCCATGGGAGGTCCTCAGCTTGTGGTGTCTTTGGAATATGTGCGTGGGTAGGTAGATCGACGGGTAGATGGATAAATGGCTGGATGGGTTGGTGGTGGATGGATGGATGGTGGACGGATGGGTGGGTATTTGGATGGATGGATGGATGGATGGACAGGTGGATGGATGGACGGACAGGTGGATGGGTGGGTGGATGGATGGATGGGGGATGGGTGGATGGATGGATGGACAGGTAGACGGGTGGTCGGATGGATGGATGGACAGGGAATGGGTGGACGGATGGATGGGTAGATTGGGAAAAGCCTGAATGTTTTCCGTCATCTCCAGCACCGACATGTGACTCATCTCTTGAGACTCTCCGGAGCACCCCTTTGAAGGTGCTCTGCTACCTCTGTCCTTCACTCCGTTTCCCGAGGGGAAATAAACAGCCATTTACTGAAACCAGGGCTGCCACTGAATGTTGAAAACTGACAGGAGGAAGGAAGAGTGTCCAGTCACTGGTCTGGTCCTTCCTTTTCACAGTCTTCTGGAAGTCCTGGGTGCGCCTCCCAGGCCCCCCGTCCAGACCACGACAAGATTCCGAGGGAAAAGCCCGTCTCCACGAACCCCTGCTCTCGGGCCCCCAAAGCCACTTGCTCAGGGCCCTGTGCTCACTAGAGGCCTGGGGGCGGGCAGGGCACGAGGGAAGGGCACAGGAGGCGGAGAGGGGCCCAGCACACAGACAGGTGGCCCCACGGCCCCCCACGGCCCCCCACGGCCCGGGCCGTTTGCCCTTCTGGGTCTCCAGGGAGCAGCTGAGCAGGGGCCGAGTGTCACAGCTGTGAGACCAGAGAGAGGCAGGGTTTGCCCCGGCTTGGGGGCAGCAGCCCCTCGGGGCCCTGGGCGACTTGGGGGCTCCGCTCCCGCGGCGGGAGCCCCGGCGGTGGCCTGAGTTCCGTCTCCTTCTGACAACAGCCTCAGACGCGCCTCCGATGCCCACGCACCATCTCTTCTGTGGCCGTTGGAGCCAAGTTCTGCGGGACCCGGAAGTACCTATTCAGATGAATGTCTTCCTAAAAACAAGCCAGTTAATTCCAGACATTCGCGTAGGAATTTCTTGACTGAAGGCGGCCCCGCTTTGCCCTCTTGTTTCTCAGCGGCTCGGGGTGCCCTCTGCGGAACCGCGGGGCGCTGAGCGTGAGGGGGGCTGTGCCCCTGGCCCCCCGCAGGGGGCGCTGTGCGACCGCTCTTTGGCGCCACGGCCATTCCCAGCTCCGCTCTTGCTCTTACGCAACAATCTGCAGGACCCGCTGTTGATTTAGGGATCTGGGGAGCCTTACTTAAAATTAAGTCAACACGTGAACAAGGGAGTCACTGTCTTTCGAACAGGACTGTCATCTGTGACCAGTTCATCGCTTAATTCCCCGGACTTTCGCTTTGTTTCTTATCAGATAGTCCTTTGAACTCGTCTCTGGGCCTCGGAAGACCCTCTGGCTCCAGCTCCGGCTCAGGGCTGAGGAACAGGGGGGCGCAGTTCCCTCTGGGGCTGGTCCCCAGGAGCTGCCGGGCCTGGACGGGTCTGTGGGGCGTGAGGACTGACAGGGGAGGACCCCCTCAGGGCCTGAGTAGCTTGCCTTTCGCACGTGCTGGTAAGGGAGGGACAGAAAGGAATGTTCTGGAACGCCTGCAGCTGGGCATTTGGTGAAGGTGACACGCTGGTGGGGTCCACGAGGTGCCCGGGGCCTGGAGAATGCTGCCTCTAACCCTGGACCCCCCCCACCTGCCTGCAGCCCAGTGTGGGAGGGGCTGGGCGGTTGTACCCCCCCCCCAGTTCTGGCCTGAACACGGGGCACAAATCTCGAGATTCGGCAAAGCCCCCCTCAGACGGTGCTCTAGAACATGCACACACCCCCTTCTTTTCGGGACGGGAGAGCTTGGACTCGGACAATTGAAATTACGCATTTCAATTTACTTACGTTCTAGAACTGCTAATTACAGGGCTTTGGGCACGATTCTCCCGTACCCCTGCTGTCGGCCCGCGGTCTCCACCAGAAGGGAGGCTCTGAGGGGGTGGGGGCCCCAGGGCCTTTGTCGGCAGGGCCCTGAGCTGCTTCTAAGCCTTCAGACCGTCCAGACGGAGGCTCAGCAGTCGCCTCATTCCAGGTGTTTAGGGAAGGGTGCGGCGCCCCCCAGTGGGATGCCCCCCAAGCCACAATCACCCCAAAGCTGTTCCCTTGTGGGGAGGCTGTGGACCCTCCGAGCACCAGCCCGGCTCCAGTCCGCCTGGGAGGCCACGGGGCAGCCCAGACCCTGGCCCTTCTCAGGACTGTTTCTCCCCATGGAGGGGGTGGCGGGGAGGGGGCCAGGCCCTCACTCGTTCCTCCCCTGGGGATTGGGGGGCTCTGGGGCGAAGTGGGGGTTGGGCTAACATACTGCTGCGTCTCTTCTGGGAAGGAGCTTGTATCTGTGCTGTTTGTCGGGCCCCCAGACATGGCCCCAAAATGGCACAGTGAGTGAGCTTCCTGGGGTCCCGTCTTCACCTTCTCGCGCATCTGCAGACACCGTGAATTTGATGCTGGTCCTCTAACCGCAGTGTCCAGAGCCTCGCGTCCATGACCTTGGCCCTGTGCGTTGTCCCCAGCACGGGCCCTTCTGGGGCTTTCTGCAGGGCTGCAGATGTGAGGGTGGCAATTCCCTTCCCGCCCCTCTCCTCCGTCCCCTGCTCGTCCCCTCTCCTCCCTGCATGTCCCCTCCCCTGCCTGTCCCCTCCCCTCCCTGTCTGTCCCCTCCCTGCCCCTTCCCTCCTGAGTGTCGCTTCACAATTGCCCCTGTTTCCACAACAGAAATTTGAAAAGGAGTCTTTGCCGAAGTTCAGGCACCAAATTGAAACTCACCTTCCTGCTACCTGTATGAACAGTTGGCGCAAGTCTCCGGATCTTCGCGGGGGCTCGTCTCTGCAAGGCCCCCATGTGTGAGTGTCCCGCTTGCTTACTTCCCGGTGACCGTGAGTTGGAGGCCACGCATACGTGGGGTTGGGGGTTCTAATCAGGTCAGTTCGGCTCTTTCCTCAGAGACCCGGAGTCGGCAAGCGTGCGCCTTTCGAGTCCCTGGAAGAGAACACGAGTGGTCCCCGTGCTTCAGGGGACAAATCCCTGACCCCGTTCCGCTCAGGTGAGCCTCTGCCCTCCCTGCTCCACGCCCGGGCTGCCGCAGGGTCACCCGGGGCCCGGAGGCCGCCGTCCTGCAGGTCGGGGTGGGGCCAGGTGTGGCCTCCATCCAGCCCCGGGGTACAGGGCAGCACACCCTGAAGTAGGCGGGGCCCCCAGATGTGGGGGCCCAGCCTCAGGGATGCAGCCTCAACAGTGTGAGCACCGCTGGGGGTCCTGCTGGGCTCTGCCCCCTGGCGGCTCATCGGGGTGCCTTCAAGGGCTGCTGCCCCAAGTCCTGATGCTGGTCGCACTCGCACCTGCCGGAGCCACAGGTGGGGGGGGCCCTGCGCTCCTGTGCTGGGGCGGGGGAGCTCATCAGGGACCCCTCCTCTGGAGGGCCCTCACCCCAGCCCGGGGGTGGGGGTCCCCAGGGCAGCAGCCCTGGCCGACCTCTCTCGCTGTGTCCTTTCTGGGAGAGATCTCCAGCCCCTGCTGGCTTCTGTCACCTGGGCCGCTAGAGGCCTTCACCTGTGACCGCTGCCGTCTGGTGTGGACTCAGGATGGCGAGGGGCTGGGGGGAGGGGCAGGAGCCATGGGGGGCGGTCGGGCAGGACCTGGGAGGCGATGGGAGCAAAGCTGGGCTGGGCGGGGGAGCTCCCGCATCTCAGGACAGCGTGTCTGCGGTGTAGACGGCAGGGCTGAGGGAGGGGGCGACCTGATGGGGGGGGTTGGGAGTTGTGGGGCTCGATGCCAGGTGCACACTAAGGGTTGTTAGGTCGCCGTGGATCCCGTCAGCATCACAAAACGCCCGTCTCCATCGTGAGGACTTCCCTTGCCCTGGAAGCTGCTCTGGGGCATGTATGAAACGGCTCCGGGTTTTCTCGGTTAGCGTTAGTGCAGCGAGCGCGCCTTCCACCCCTTTACCCTAATCCGTCTGCTCCCCCCTGTGTGACGTGAGTGGCTTGTATGCGATATGTAGTTGGGTCTTGTGTTTTCATCCGCTCTGACAGTCTCTGTCTTCATACCACTCACATTCAGAGTGACTGTGGGGCGCCTGGGGGGCTCGGTGGGTTCAGAGTCTGGCTCTTGGCCTCGGCTCAGGTGATGATGTCACAGCTCGTGGGATCGAGCCCCACATCAGGCTCTGTGCTGTAAGATTGGGATTCTCTCTCCCTCTCTCCCTCTGCCCCTCTCCCACTCTCGCATGCTCTCTCTCTCAAGAAAAATAAACTTAAAACAAATTCAGTGACAGCTGATACAGTTGGATTAGCATCCTCCACATTCATTCCTGTGTGACATTCATTGCTCCTCACTCTTTGTGTCTTTTTTGGTCGTCTGCTCTTTTTCCACCTTCTTTGCTTTTAAAACCGAGCGTTTGCGTGCTTCCGTTTTCCCTTCTCTCTCAGCACGTTTGTCACATCTCTTCTGGTTTTTTGTTTTTTTAACTTTTTAGTGGTTGCTCTGGAGTTTGCAATATCCATTCATAACTAATGCAAATGCACTTTAAATAGCATCTTCCTGCTGCAGGGGCAGTGCAAGTGCCTCATAGCGGGACACTCCCCTCCTGGCGCCTCCCTCATCTGTAAGCTCTAATCACCAAATACATCGTTGCTACCATTTCATTTACCAGATATAATCGACATATAACACATTAGTTTCTTATCTTTTTGACACTAGCCATTCTGACAGGGGTGAGGTGAGTTGTGGTTTTGATTTGTATTTCCCTGATGATGAGTGGTGTTGAGCATCTTTTCATGGGTCTGTTGACCATCTGACCATCTTTGGAGAAATGTCTGTTCACGTCTTCTGCCTACTTTTAAATCAGATTGTGTGTTTTTTGGCTTTTGAGTTATAAGAGTTCTTTATATATTTTGGACATTAGTCCCTTATCAGGTGTATTGTTTAAAATATTTCCTTCCATTATATAGGCGGCCTTTCCATTTTGCCGATGGTTTCCTTTGCTGTGCAGAACCTTTTTAGTTTGATGTGGTCCCACTTGTTTTTACCCTGGTGTCTTCGCTTTTGAAGTCAGATCCAAAAAATCATCACCAAGGTCAATGTCACAGAGCTCACTGCCTGGGTTTTCCTCTAGGATTTTTATGGTTCCAGGTCTTACATTACAGCTGTGAATCCATTTTGGGTTAATTTTTGTGTATGGTGTGAGAAAGTCGTCTGGAGGTGGCTTCCCAGCTACCCCAACACCATGTGTTGAAAAGACTCTCTTTTCCCTGCTGTATGTTCTTACCCCCTTTATTATAAATTAATCGACCATACGTGCATGTGGTTATTTCTGGGCTTTCTATTCTGTTCCATTGATCCATGTGTCTGTTTTGTGCTAATCCCACAAATTTTGATTACTATAATTTATAATATGGTTTGAAATCAGAGAGCATGGTACTTCCAACTTTGTTCTTTCTCAAGATTTGTTTGGCTATTTGGAGTCTTTTGTAGTTTCATATAAATTTTAGAATTACTTGTTATCTTTCTGTGAAAAATGCCATTGGAATTTTGATAAAGATCACGTTGAATCTGTAGGGTGCTTTATGGACATTTTAACACAATGCATTCTTTTTAAAAAGTTTTTTTTAATGTTTTATTTATTTTTTAGAGAGTGAGAGACAGCGTGAGCAGGAGAGGGACAGAAAGAGAAGGAGGCACAGAATCTGAAGACAGGCTCCAGGCTCTGAGCTGTCAGCACAGAGCCCGATGTGGGGCTTGAACCCATAAACTGGGGGATCATGACCTGAGCCAAACCTGGACGCTTAACCGACTGAGCCACTCAGGCGCCCCTGACACGATGCATTCTTCCATGAGCATGGGATATCTTCCCATTTTTTTGTATCTTAAAATTTCCTTCATCAGTGTCTTCTAGTTTTCAGTGCACTGGTTTTCCACCTCCTTGGTTAAATTTATTCCTAGATGTTTAAATCTTTCTGATACAATTGTAAATGAAATTGCTTTCTTAATTTCTCATCCTGATGGTTCATTGTTAGTGCATAGAAATGCAACAGATTTCTGTCTGTTGATTTTGTGTGCTATGACTTTACTGAATTAGTGTATCTGTTCTAGCAGTTGTTAGGTGAAGCCTTTTTTTTTTAAGTCATTTCTTTTGTTTTCTTGTCTCTTCTTTTACTGGTTTATTTTTGAGAGGGGGAGAGAGAGAGAGGGAGAGAGACCGACAGACAGTGAGCACGAGCAGGGGAGGGGCAGAGAGAGAGGGAGACACAGACTCTGAAGAGGCTCCAGACGCCGAGCTGTCAGCACAGAGCCTGACTCGGGGCTCGAACCCGCAGACTGTGAGATCATGATCTGCACCGAAGTCGGACGCTCAACCGACTGGCCCACCCAGGCGCCCCTCTTCGGTGGACTCTTTAGGGTTTTCTGTATCTGCAAATACTGACAGTTATCCGTGTGGGTGTTTCTTACTTCTCTTTCTCGTCTGGTTGCTGTGGCTGGGACTCCCGGGCTGTGCTGGACACAGGTGGTGACTAGACGTCCTTGTCTGGTGCCTGGTCTTAGACTAAAAGCTTCCAGCGTTTCCGTTGAGTGTGCTGCGAGCCGTGGGCCTGTCCTGTGTGGCCTTTACTGTGTTGAGGCACATTCCCTCTATACTCACTTTGTTGAGAGTTTTTAATCATAACTGGATGTTGAGTCTTGTCAAATGCTTTTTCTGCATCTTTTGAGATGGTTCTCTGATTTTCATTCCTCATTTTGTTAATGTGCTCGTATGGATTGGCTTGTGAACACTGTTGTGCATCTGTTAGCTCAGTGAAGGACAGGAAAGAGGGAAGCTTTACTTTACCCTCAAACGTTCATTCTCTAACACGTTTCCTTTTCTTAACTCGGGTCTGAGACATGCAGTTCTTCCCGCTGCATTCCGGTTTCTGTGCAGGAGCCCTGTGCCTGGGTCCTGGGGTCTCCTGTGGGGCCTGCTGAGGGGGGTGCTCAGCCTGCGACCTGACCGGGATCCCAGGGGGTGCTGTGCCCAGGCAGGGGGCCGGGTGCAGTGGGAGGGGAGGGCGTGGCTTTGCCCCTTGCACACCTACCCCACGCCCTGCTTTCTCACTGCCCAGAGACGCTGGGGTGCCAGGCGGTGCTCAGTGGATCGGCGGGAAGACCTCGCCCTCGGCACTGCCCCCGAGGCAGCTCCCCAGGTGCCGCAGGAGGGGTCCCAGGGGGAGGAGCTGAGGTCCCGGAGTGTAGACCACTGTGCTGCAGGGGGAGGGGTGGCGGGGGGGGGAGTGAAGCTGTGGTTCCACCGTCAGGGAGAAGATCCCCGGCTGGAGCTTCTTTCTGCCCAGGCCGGGGCCCTGGTCGATGTAGAGCCTGACCTGGGGTGGAGCGAGGTCAGGGTCTGCCTAGCTAGGGACGGTCACCATCACCTGTCACATCACCTGTCAGGCTGCACGCTCTGGAGGATCGGGTCCTCCTCCGACCTCCGGGCAGAACCAGCCAGACCGCCCTGGGTTACCCGTGGCCCGCATGTGCTTGGCCGCTCCTCCCACACCCTGATGGTACGCAGGGCTCATCCGCCTTCCCTGGGTACACGCGGTCACAGTGGGAGACCCTGGGTCTTACCCTCTGTCTTCCCCAGAGGCGGCCGCCACATGTGGCTATTGACACAGGTGCAGGAGCCACGCTGCAGGCAGAATCGGTGCAGGTGGATGTTCTCCTGGACGGCATTTCCTCTGCAAGGAGCAGGGCTGGCAGCGGTTGGGAGGGAAGTGGGGGCTTGGTCGGGGGGGTCGGGCGTGAGCTCGGTGCCCAGGACCTGGCCACTGGCTTCCACTTGGAGCCCCTGTGTGCCACTGCCAGGGACGGGCGCTGGACAGACCCCGCAGCGGGTGCCGGGGAGCAGGTCCGCGCGCGGTCGCCTCTCGGCCAGGCTGAGTGTGGCCTGAGGCAGCTGCGGACCACAGAGGGGCATCCGAGGCGGTGAGCTGCACGCTCGCCCGATCAGGGTGGCCTCCCGCTCCCGCAGGCCCAGCCGCCTCACTTCTCTGTGACTCATCTCGAGAGAGGCCGCCACGTGTCCCGCAGGGTTGGCTGAGGCTGCAGTGTGGACGGGGCTGCTGACTCTGCCTGCCCGCCTCCCACACAGTGACTCTGGGGCAGGAGGGGCCGCGGGGACCCCGGTGCTTGCTGGTGACCCTGCGTTTAGTCCACAAACATGCTGGGCATGTCCTCTGTGCTTGGGAAGCAGGGCCTGGCTGGACATGGGCCGGAAGAGAAGCTCCCACAGCACAGGCCGGGCCGCCCTCCCACAGGCCAGTGACCAGATGGGGGGCCGGGGGAGAGGCTGGGAAGAGCCCAGGGGAGCGAGGCCGGGTGAGCGAGGCATGGAGAAGAGCGGAAAGCCAGAGGAGAGGCCAGGGCTTTGGGAAGAGGGCCGGTGGGCACGCCGGGCGCACGGACGCAGGCAGGAGGTGCTTCTCAGTGTCGGGGCTGCCGCGGGAGGCTTGGACCCCCGGGGCTCTTGGAAGGGCCCCAGGCGTTGGCAGCGGCCGCTTGGTGCAGGTCCCGGCAGGTGAGGCGCTCGGGGAGGAGGCCGGGGGCATCGGTGGGCCCCTGTGCAAGGCGCCGCGGGGACAGTGTTACCAGGCGCAGGCGGGCTGGCTGGGGGCCCGGGGGCCGGCCAGGAGCCCGCCGTACGGGCAGGTTTTATGAGGGCGGGAGGCAGTTTGCCTCTGGTGACTGGTTTGAGGCGTGTGACAGGGTCACTAAAAGTTGTCCCGAGTTATGCGGACGTGGGGTATGGAGGTCCAGGGCCGGGGCTCCGGGAGTCGCTCTGAGGGACACGCGCACCGGGCCTGGGGCAGAGGGGGGTCACGGTGCGCCAGGCTCTGAGCTGGGACGGCCCCTCAGAGGTGGCGCAGGGCCGGGTCCTCGCACCTGCGCTCACAGGCACGGCCTGGAGGGCCCTCAGGTCCACTCAGGTGGGGGCCCCTCTGCCGCCCCTGGGACCTGGCACCGCTTTTGGTCTGTCTCTCCGGCTCTGTGTCTGTGTGTCTCTGTCTCCCTCTCACCTGGGTGAGGGAGACGAGTCCTGGAATGTTCTACCCTGTCTTCCCCGCAGGTCAGGAACCAGTGTGGGGTGCGGCCAGCAAAAGGGAGGCCCCGTGGACGTGTGGGGACGGGGCGCAGGAGCCGTCCACGCTGCAGCCACGTGCTGCCCTCAGCGCCCCGTCTGGGCGGGAACGGGGTCCGGGTGGGCACCCCGGGCTCCACGGGCAACGTGCCTGGAGCGCACACGGCCACCTTTCAGGAGCCTGTTTGTCTCTTGGGTGCTGTTCCTCCCCAGGTCGGCGTCCGGACGTCCCCTGGGGCGGTGACCCCTCCGGGGCAGGGCCCTTGGCCTCCCAGCCTCGCCCTCGGCCTTCTTTTGACACCCTGTGGTCGGCCCCGCCCTCTGCCTCAGGGCTGCAGGTTCAAGGGCATCTGGGGGGTGTCGGATGGGGGGTGGCTGCCCCTCCCGATGCTGTCTGGCCCGTGGTGGCCCCGTCCTTCCGCTGATCTTATCGGCACCCACAGCCGCTGTCAGGGATCCTGACTCGGTCACAGCACCCGGCCACCTTCACTTCATGGTGGTCACCGCGGTGTCCTCCGGGCCTTCCTGGGAACACGGTCGGCGGGTGGTGGGCTCCCAGCAGCGCCACTTCTCCCAGCCCACGTTTTCAGACCCAGAGGCGGCTGCTCCGTTCCGCTGAGCCTGGTCCCCCGGGGCCTCACCCTCCCCTGGGCAGGCTGGGTGGCAGCACCTGCGTACCTGCCCTGGTGCCACGTCACCAGAGCCGTCTTCACGGGGGCCGCTGGCCCACAGGGTCTCGGGAGTCTGGGGCTGGCGGCCTCTCCTGTGTGTGCCCATCCCCATCCCTGCGCCGCGGCCTGGCCATGGCCTGCAGGGTTCAAGGGCTGCTGCGCCCCCTTTACCCCCCTGCCCCCCGCCCCGGCCACCACGAGTCAAGTGCTTCAGAGAAGTGTCCTTCTTTCTCCTTCCAGAGCGAGCTGTGGTTTGGGCCCTGAGCCGGGGTGTTTCCCAGGACAGGACGCTGCCCGTCGGGGAAGCTCTGACCTCACCTTCTCCCAAGTCCCAGGTCGCCGGGAGCCGTCGATGTCACTGTTGTGCCTGATTTTTCTCCCACGTGGAGCGGCTCCTGCCTTGCAGCCCCTCCCACCCGTCGGTGTGGACGGAGATGCATTTACCTACTTAGGAATGAAATTAGAGCAGGCTCATTAATAACTCATGTGAACTCATTTTTCTAAGAATTTGATGGAAGAATTAGTTGGTATTAAAAATGCTGTGGTTTTTAATTGTGACTACTTGTTCTTTTAAAGCAGAATGCATTTTAAATAGCACAACGAACTGTCTAATTAACCACTTTGTTTACATAAAGAACCCTTGAAAATGGGAGGGGACTCTCCTCCAGAGTTAATGGGAACAGTGGAAGGTTCTGGAAGAGATATCTATTGAGGAGGTCACTTCTGCTGAGCAAATCCATGTCACCATGGATCTTCGGAGGTGGCAGCCGCGTGGCTCTGAGTGCTGGTGGGGGGGTGGTTGGCAGCGCGGGGAGGCCATAGGGTCTCTGCACAAACAGCCCGACAGCCTGGTTCCATTCGTGGCCAGAGCGTGGGCGGTCAAGGGCACTTGGAAAGCGGTTCTCACGTGTCTCAGCCCATGGGGACATCTGTGCAAAGACACCGTGGACAGGGGCTCATGAACAGACAAGTTCACTCCCAGCTTCTGGAGGCAGGGGGTCCAGGGCCAGGGCGCCACGGCCCCGCTGTCTGGTGAGGCCGCCTCCTCGCCGTGTCCTCCCGAGGCGGAAGTGGGCTGATGGTTTCGGGGCCTCGAACACCAGTGCCATGGAGGGGGGCAGGGTTCAACACGTGCATTTGGGGAGGGGGACGGGGGCGCTCGGAGCGCGGCGGTGCCCATCCCCTCCCCTCCCTGCACTTCCCAGTGGGCTTCCAAGTCCTGGAGGGGCAGCTGAGTCCCCGGGTCCGGTGGGGCCAGAGCAGCGCCTTCTGAGTTGTGCGGGAGCTCAGTCCTTGTGCGCTGAAATCCAGCAGGAGCACATGGGACCCCGACCTGGGGACCCTTCTCTTTCGAATGTTCTGCCGGCCAAGTGCTGGCCAGGAGGCGAGCAGTGTCATGGGGCTCAGGATATTTTTAACTGATAGACCTCAACTCTGACTTGTCCCTGATTTTAAAACATGCTTTTGTTGTAAAACTGAAAAAAAAAAAAAAAGCTCATTACTGAGGGGCTGGAAACACTGAAGGACACTAAGAAGAAAATTAAAAATCAACCACTGTCCAGAGACAGTTCTGTTAACTTTTTTGAAGCATTTCCTGCCGAAGTTGTGTCTTCGTAAGGCTGTTTGTGGAGAGCACAAGGGTCGTGTCCCACACCCACCCCGTCCTTAAAACAGAGTCGTGGATTCCTAATTAAAAGCTGCTTTCGTTTTCATGACTAATAACTTGTAGCCAGACCTGCATGTGCCGATGGCGAATTCGCTTGTTTTCTTATCTTTCGTGTTAAATTATTGATGCCACAAATAGAGAGGAATCTCTGATTCTTCTATTATCTTCCAATTAGAACAAAACACGGAGACATTCAACTGCTGTGTGTTGGCAAGTTTGGCTTTTGAAGAACAGGAGGGTTGGGCCCGTGAGCCCTTGGCAACCCTGGGCCCCGGGAGACGCGGCGGCGCCCGAAGGCAGGCCTGGTCAGTGCCCCGCGGAAGCCTCTGGGAAAAGCCGAATTAATTTACTGAGTGCGATCGGCTCCCTGGAGCCTTGCGCCTCTGGGTCAGCCAGGCGGTGACAGAGGCTCAGGTGGCCCATCCGTGGGGCCCCGGAGCCGGCCGGCTGCTAGCTTCTCGGTGCCCGGCATGGGCACATGGTTGCTCTACACTCGGGGTGCTCCCGCGTCGTGGGGAGACCCGGCGTTGTGGGGAGAGCGTGCCCACCCAGGAGGCCCTTCGCTGAGGCAGCCCCCCGCCCACCTCCAGCGGAGCGGAGGTTCGCCCGGCTCTGGAGGGCAGACGGCTGCTTCCACGGCCGCTTCTGGCTACGAAGGGGGGGCTGGCGGACGCCACCCTGGAAACCGCCGGAGCCGGGTGGCAAGTAGGGCAGCCGCGTGTGGCCGAACGGTAGCATAACTGAGATGCAAACTGTGACGTGATCTCAGTCCCTCCCCCCAGTCATTGTGGGTGCCGCGCTGCCGCTGATGCCCGAGCCTCCCAGGATTATGCGGTTTTAGTCAACAGCAGGATTATTAAATGTATAAAATTATTTTTTTAAATAAAAATGCTTATTCATTTATGAGAGACCGTGAGTGCGTGAGTGGGGGAGGGGAAGAGAGAGAGGGAGACACAGAATCTGAAGCAGCTCCAGGCTCTGAGCTGTCAGCACAGAGCCCGACGCGGGGCTTGAACACACAAACCGTGAGATCATGTCCTGAGCCGAAGCTGGATGCTCAACTGACTGAGCCCCCCAGGTGCCCATAAATATGTAAAATTCTGAGCTAGTGCGACAAGGTCAAGAAAAACTTGCAATGCACCTGGTTAGTCCAGGGTCCAGGGAAGGTGAGAGGGCTGGGCCGTGAATGGTGTCCAGTGCACACTCTGGTCCACGTGGGTGGGGGTAGGACGCGGGGCCCGGGGCTGGGCTGGCGGGTGCGGTGGATGCAGTGGACAGAGCTGGCGGGCAGAGCTCGGTGGAGGTGCCGGGCCGCGAGGGGGGCCTGGCCACCGTGGTCCAGAGTGGGTCCAGTGGTGCTCTGACCCCACACCTGCTCGCTGCGTGTTCCGTGGGGAGGAATTCGGCGCAATCCCCTGTGATGCAGACAGGCCGTCGTTGTGCGAGTCATGGTCCGTCAGGAAAGATGACATTAACAAGCTCAAACTGCTACAGAACCTCGAATAACAGCATCTGAAGCACGAGTGAGTGCAGAGTGTACACGGCAGACACACCGACAGAGAGAAGGCAGAGAGCGATTGCACCTGCGTCAGGACAGCCCATGCTCGTGGGCTGGAGACAGATGTCCACGTCTCCCCGGCTGGCCTGCAGAGTCCGCGTGATCCCACGGAATATCCCAGACCACGTTTTGTGGAGCGGACAGGCTGACCCCTAAATTTCTGACGAAATGCAAAGGATTGAAAGGCCCAAAACAATTTTGAAACAAGAAACAAGGAGGATTTGCGTTACCCGATTTCAGGCTGAAGTCCCAGCGGACAAGGCCGTGAGTATCAGCGGAAGCAGAGGAGGTGACGACGGGTGGAGCCTAAGAGCGAGCCCAGGCGTGGGCGCAGCCGGGCCCTCACGCCACCCCGTGGGCAAGCTTTGGCGGAGAACTGGCCGTAGACCCCGGTGGGAAGGGTGAAACTGGAATCCTTGGAGGAAACCTCATAAACGTGGCCTTTGTGACCCAGGGTGGGGGGCAGACATTTCTCACACAGACAGAAACACATCAGCCATGAAAGAAAAAAAAAATCAATGGATTGCACTTGATCTAAATTAAAAACATTCCCTATTTGAGAGTTACCATCAAAGGGCGCCTCAGTCAGTTAACTGTCCGACTCTTGGTTTCGGCTGAGGTCACGATCTCATAGTTTCGTGAGTTTGAGCCCCGAGTCGGGCTCTGTGCTGACAGCGTGGAGACTGCTTGGGGTTCTCGCTCTGTCTCTGCCCCTCCCCCGTTTGCGCTCTCTCTCAAAATTAAAAAAAAAAAAAAAAAAAGAGTTACAGTCAAGAAAAGGACGAAGCAAGCCGCCAAGCACCAGCAAAAGCTCCGTCACGTCTCAGGAAAGACTTTGACCAGGACAGGAAGGGCTGGTGCAACTCTAACATCGCGATTTGAAGGGAAAGATGGAGACCCTGGAACAGACGCTTCACAAGAGGCCGTGGCAGCTGCTAGTGTGCAGGCGAAGAGAGGGGACCCACGGCCCACAAGGCTCGGCCCACGCTCAGGCGCTCGTGAGCCCCGTCGCGAGGCCGCGGCTGGGCGCAGTGTGTTTCTGTTCTGAGCGTGGAGTGTGGGCGCCCGACAGAGAGCCACTCGGAACGAGGAGCAGCGGGCGTCCAGGACACCAGGGCCGCCGTCACCCTGCGAACACGCCAAGCGAGGGACACCGAGGACGTCCCGTGAATCTGTTTGTCCTAAAATCCCACGACAGTGCAGAGCCAGCCCGCGGTGGGCGGCGTAAGTGTGACAGGATGGGCTCAGGATGTGCCAGGTAGGTGTGGCACATGCGGCAAACCCATGAAAGTCTACTCTTAAAACGGGTGAATTTTATTTTTTAATCAATTCACCTCAATAAGGTGAGATTCAGATGATCTGGAACTCATGAGAAGGGATTGACAAATGTGTGCCGTGTGCAGACACACAGCACACACAGTGCACACACGCAGTGCACACACAGCACACACAGCACAATACAGGACACATAAAGGACATACACATGCCCACACACAATGCACACACACATATACACACACAGTGTGTACAGACATGCACACACAGTGCACGTGTGCACACACACACTGCACAGAGTACACACACAGCGCACACAGTGCACACAGTACACACAGCTCATGCACACACAGTGCACACAGCACACACACAGTACACAGGGCACACACACATGGCATACACATGCCCACACACATAGCACACACAACGCACACACATGCACACACACAGCATGCACACACATAGCGCACACAGTGCCCACAGTACACACAGCTCATGCACACACGGTGCACACAGCACACACACAGTACACACACAGCGCACACACACAGGGCATACACATGCCCACACACATAGCACACACAACGCACACACATGCACACACACAGCACACACACACATAGTGCACACAGTGCGCACACACACCGTGGACACACACAGAGCACAATACAGTGCAAACACAGTGCACACACAGCAGATGCACACACGGTGCACGCACATGTGTACAGTGATGTGTACATCACTACATGGCTGCACACGTGTGCACATGCATTCATGTGTACATGTATTATAAAGGGATAAATAAATTTATCTTTATACATTTTACAGGTTTATGTATTTAAAGGGAAAATTGTACATTTGGATTGATCGGTGATTGATATTGATTGATGCCGCCAGCGAGAGAGCAGTCAGCCCCACACCAGCCACGCCCCGCTGGGGACCATCGCCTGGCAGGTGGACCCCCGGGCAGGGAGACCCCAGCTTTCTTGCTCGGCCACAGGAGCGGGGCCGGCGCGCACAGCCCTCCTGAGCACGCCAGGGAAGGGCCCCCCA